CCCAAAAAATATATATATATTTAGATATTAGAAATCGTAATGTGGTGGAGCAGCGAAGCAGATGGAAAGTCGGTGTGGCGCACTCGCAGGAGCCTGAGACGAGACGAGACGGGACGGAGAGGATAGGTAGGTTAGGTAGGTAGGTTAGGTACCTTAGGTACCTACAGTACCAGTAGCTGATAACTAACTCTGTCTTACTGGCGCACGGCTAGAACCTACCGGTACTTACTGTACGTAGCATAGCATAGCCTAGCCTAGCCTACTACCTACTACCGTACCTACTGCATGGAGTAGGCCTAGGCCTAGGCCTTACAGTAAGTACCGGTACCTACGTACTACGTACTACTTAGCAAGCCCATCAATAATCAAAGAGGCCAAGGAAATTCGACAGAAATGCAAAGAGGCGAGAAGAGTTCGAGCGAGCCTATGACGTGCGACAGATACAGATACAAGTACCGTATGTAAAATATCTTTCACCCTTTCACCCCGTCCCCTCTCGCCCACCCGCCGTGTTCGCTGCTCTTTAGTCTGTTGTTATTCTTTTTCTCTTTCGGGTTTTGCTCTCGAAATTTCTATCTGATTTTTATTTTCTCTCTTTTTTTTTTTTTTATTCACGAGAGGGGGAGGGCAGGAGGCGGTGGAGGAGGGATAGGTACCGGTAGGTAGGTAGTTCTCCAGCTCTCCAGCTCTCCAGTTCTCCAAACGTAATGTACTACTACAAGGGCCGATTTGGTGCAAACCCAGTTCAAACCCAGTTCAAACCCAGTAAGTACTACGTATATACTACGTACTACTACTAGTATGTACTAGTAAATACCGGCCGGCCCGATATCCGTCGACGCCGTAAAAACCAAGGATTGATTGGGTTCAAGGCTGGTTGGTAGTGGTGTTCGTCCGCAAGGCTCAACGCTAAAATCGACTCCTCCGTACTGTAAGTAGACATACGGTACCGGTACTGTACCGGGCTTTACTTTACTTACTTACATGAGTACCTAGTAAGTACGGAACCGGGGGTTCAGCCACCCGACCCAAATCCGCATGTACGTACCGGTAGTACTCTCCAGCTACGGATAAGTCACCTTTGTCTGGACCCGAGTGTGCGGAGGAAGCCGTCAGTTCGTGAGTACGGGATGTACGGTCGGGAGGGAAGTCTTGCGTGCAGTAGTCTGTCTCGCAGTAGGTTAAGTCTCACAGTAAGAAAAACCTACCGGTACTGCTCCGTAAGCAGAATCCAATAATATACTACGTATCTGTACATCTACTACGTACATCTACTACATAGTAGTACGTAGTAGTAGTACATCTACGTACTACATCTACCTTTACGAAAACTTCCGTGGAATCCATGTCCCGACAAGTACGTAATCCTCGAGGCTAACTGGAAGCATAAACGGAGAGACCTACTACCTACCTACCTAACCTACCTACCTACCTACTACGGTACCGTACTGTAGGTCCCCTCAAGCGATCAGACGACGACTGACTGACTTGACAGCGCGCGAAACCACAAGTCCAAGAACACCACCCACCACGCACCCAACCCGCAGCACGAGAAAACCCATCCCTCTTTCCCGATCCAGTTTCGCTTTCCTCTCCTCTCCTTGCCTTGATCCAAAACGTCGTTGTCGTCTGAGGTTACCTACCGGACCGACAGTATCGGTTGGTACAAAACCGGGCTACAGTACGAACAGATACCTACTACTACTACCTACCTACCTACCTACTTACCCCGTAGAGTTTTTCTTTTTTTTTACAGACCCGGTATTTGAGCCGGTTTGAACTACGTACTACGTACTACTACGTGCATACGTACATGCCTACTCCGTACTGGCGTTGAACCAAGCGGGAAGAGTGGGCGTGAGCACGGGCATCGGCTCGGCTCGGCTCGCCATCTTTTGTCTATCATTCGCTACGTACTGCTAGTACATACTTGTACTTGTATGCATCAATCCAAATCCAAATCCAAATCCAAATCCGAATCCAAATCCGAATCCAAATCCGAATCCAAATCCAAATCCATATCCAAATCCATATCCAAACCCAAATCCATATCCAAATCCAAATCTAGATCCCAGCCCAGCCCAGCCCAGTCCAGCCCAGTCCAGCCCAGTCCAGTCCAGCCTCAAACTCAACCTCAAACCTCAAACCTCAAACCTCAACTTCCTTCCGATAGGTAATAGATATCGACATATAAAATTCCATCTTCATTCTCTCTCTCTCCTCATTTCCATACACATCCAGTTCTCAACCCCAATCCCAATCCCAACTCCAATCCCAACCCCAACCCCAATCCCACTCCCACTATCCCCATCATTCATTCCACCACCACCGCCTCGTGCAAAATTTGGGGGTCGGTTT